ACAAACGTCAAGTCAGTCAGTTCTTCTACACGGATCAGAAACTTGACGGGTCACAATGAATATTTCCAACAAGTTGCACACCTTCATCAACAACTGTCTTCGCTCTATACACTGAAGATCAGATGGTCGGAAAGAATCACCAACAAGAAACTATGGGAACAAACAAACGAAACAAGAACCAATTGCCCAACAAATATGCAGGAGAAAGTGGAGATGGATTGGACACTCGCTGAGGAGGCCATTGGGTGACATCGCACGTCAGGCCAACGCTCGAGTGGAACCCGAAAGGGGAGCGGCGAGTGGGACGTCGGTGTAAGGGTGACGTGGAGGAGGTCGCGTGAAGAGGAATTGAAAAAGTATGGATTAACTTGGACGCAGGTGAAAAGTACAGCAGAAGACAGAAGCAAGTGGAGGCGTGCAGTTGAAGCCCTATATTCCACTAGGAACCCAAGGGAACAATAATAATAACTTCTCTCCTCGTATTTTCTAACTTCCCATTGGTCACCCCTTCTAGAATGCACCTTACATTATGTAACACCTATTTTCGAAGGCAAATTTTACCAACATCTGATTGGTTTTACGAATTCTTTGTGATTGTACAGCTTATGAAAATGAATCGTAAAGAAGAAAATTTTCCTCAGGATTTCATCATGAGCTGACATCGGCTAGAGGACCATTGGGAAACCAGCTGACAGTACTGGACAGCTGTTTCGCCCTATTTTGGGACTCTTCAACAGAAGTTGGAATTCATGAACAGGACATTGGGTCGGGTCCCAGTGGCTTAATAGTCTACGAGCTAGCTTGCCTTGTAATCAGAAGGTCCTGGGTTCGAACCCTGGCGGTGGGTGCGTACTTTTGAAAAATCCCAAAATCGAATGAAATAGCTGTCCGGCACACCCTGGTGGTTTTCCAATAGTCCTCTAACCGGTCGATATCATTTCATGATGAAATCCTCCAACCAATCGAAACAAATCCCTGCAAACCAACTCTTGAAAATTTTCTTCGCCGTGTTCGTCTTTTTCCTATAACTCAATACGGGAAGGTTCCGTTCATACACCAGAATCTGAGATTTGAGTTATGCAAAGGTCAACTAATAGCATCCCAAACTGTCGTTAAAAAAGATCAATAAGACTTCAGTCTTTTCATCAAGCCAGTCGAGGAGCTACTCAATCGCTCTACATCTTTCTAAGTTTTTAACGTCATACACCTATTGACTTCTCGTGGAATCGACCCTCAAATATAAATTCCTACAACCAATAAGGATTCATTTTAATTGTTAGATGTTAGTCACAAATCTCAACATCACTTAAAGAGATCACTGAAAGTTATACAGGGATTACTTGAAGAGTGTGTTTCGTCCCATTTCAGGACTCTTCAGGCTACAAGGTCAAGCTCATTGATTACACACCATTCAGACAGCTACTTGAGCAGAAATCCAATGATTTGTGAATTTTAATTTCCGTTAATTCATGTGATATAATGGCACTGTTCACTAATATCTTCGAGGAGCACTCACTTCACCACTGGTGACAACTGCTTACCATATACAAGACAGCTTTAGGGCATCTATCCAGGAGCCATCAAACAGTTAACTGGCGAGTGACATTCACATCATGGAATTTGTAGAGATGAGATTAAACAAATATCGTGTACATGAAATCGTTATAACAGCACTAATATTGTCAATGCAAAACGATTCATGAAGCGCTGACATTCATACCGAAAGGAAGAAACATTTTTCGCTTCTATATTACATTTGGTACTTTCTTGCCATCCCAAAGAAGATGGAGGCCTTATTGATTGATATAAGTACAAAACATGGGCACTGTGGTGGTAGAGTATAACTCCATTATAGATAAGATTTTATTTCGATGAATCACACAGTGTTGTGTTATACAGTAATATTAACTGATGACCACGTTTCGAGCAAAAACTATTGCTGCTCATAGTCATATCAAGGCACTACTCACACAACTTTTTTCCTTCATTTATATACATGAGTGGAATTGACCAGATATTGGAATAAAAATCAATATGGGATAATGTACATTCAGAAATATTAATATGAGTGTTATCAATCAAATGCAATCAGATGGGAAATAAGACGAGTGTTTTTATAGTCATAATAATAAGTAACTTGTTAGAATGTTGTGATGTACGTGAATTGAAATAGAATTTTGAGATTATTTATTATCCTCTTCCGATTTGACTGACTGGTGGTGATAATATCTTCCATACATATTCCTGATATTTGCATTGAGTCATTTCTGTTGCGCATGTGTTGGGTGTAGACTCGATGAACCAGGCATGATTCAGTAATCAATCTCTCTCTCCACCTACACAGATTACTTCTTAGAATCTTAACCTTCTCCCACCCTATTATGTCATTGTGTGTGTTAATGCATGCATGCAGTGCAATCGCTGAGCTTTTCTCTAAATTACTCTATAACACTGTGTGATTTATCAAAAATAAAATCTTAGCTATAAGAAGGAGGCCTGCTCAAAACTTGTTTGTGCTACCGAAAACAACCTCCATCAATATAGTTCACATATAATTTCTCTTATTTAATTTGTTTAAATTTAGTAAAATATGACCTCTAATAGTATCATGGTTGACTCTAGCGGGCATTTCAAACATTTACAACTTGACGATTCACTCTAGTTTGCACCAGACATCAGAAAAAGCACTATCCTCGATGGATTGCAGCTTATCCTACCCAATACATGAGATGATCGTTCCTCAGTGGTGTGTCCCTCAGTCACAAAATGTACTCCTCAACCTTTTATAACTGGAATTCAACCAAAAAGAAGAGATATCATGTAATGGTTTGGTTTGTGCTTCAGGTCAGATAGATGGGACTGTGTCACACGATCTACTATCGTCGATTAATCGTTTATTTGAAGATCCCGGACGAAAGGCAAATAACATGCAATAAACTCGGCTGAAGATTCTCTACATTATATAAACTAAATCGAAATTCAACTAGAGAATGATGAAACTATGGTTAGTTGTGACATAACTAGTCTTTATACTAATATACCAATCAATATGGCCGCCTTAGAAGTAGTTAAAAAAGAAGTAACTGCAGATCCTGAACTCACTCATAGGACGAAGCTACCCACTGAGGAAATTATTTTAGGAATTCATTTATGCTCCCTCACATCTAATATCTTTAAATTCCAAGGCAAAATGTATAAACAAACAGATGGTGTAGCAATGGGATCATCATTTTCCGCTATCGTAACAGATATATTTATGGACAGCTGGGAAAATATTGCTCTAAATACAGCATTTAATCCTACTTCAATGATATGGTGGAGATATGTGGATGACACTTTCACACACAGTGTTAGAAACAGAACATATCTCTCTCTAGCTTCTTCACACACATATAAACTCACTAGTAAAGGGAATAAAATTCACATTTGAATCGGAAAATGAACAAGGAGAATTAGCTATGATGTTAGATTGCAAAATAAAACGAATAGAAGAAGGTAAACTGCACACTAATGTTTATAAAAAGCCAACGCATTCCGCTAATAGATATTTAGACTTTAATTCATCTCATCCGTCGTTGTCTGTAAAGGCAGGTTTAGTTAAGTGTCTAACAAACCGAGCAGTAGCACTAAGTAGCACAAGAAAAGACCTAAATGATGAAATGAAACAGATAGAAGAATAGCTGGTTGGTGTTGAATAACTATCCTATAAAATTCATTAAGAAGATCGAGAAGGGCCAAAAGCAAATTAAAAGTAATTGTGAAACTAGTAATGATAACATAAATAAGAGAGAATACAAGGCATCTATAGTTGTACCATATAAGGAGGGGACATCTGAGACTTTACGTTGGATTCTCAGTAAAGCAGGAATTAGAGTGGCATTCAAACCTACAAACTCACTCAGGTAGGACAAGCTCTCTAGGTTAAAGAACCTTGTGGGTTGACCCAATTAGACAAAATAATATAATTAACAAAATACCTTGCAATGACTGTGAGTGAGGTCAACTACATAGGTCAAACTAGTAGGTCAAGGCTAGTCAGATTGCTAGAACATAAGAATTTAGCCAAGGTAAGAATGGTTGACCCAGAGAAGATAAGTAATTTAGAAAAAAGCTCAGCAATTGCAATGCATGCATTAACACACAACCACAAAATAGGGTGGGTGGGAGAAGGGTTAAAATTCTAAGAAGTAATGTAGGTAGTTGGAGAGAGAGAGAGAGGTTGATTACTGAATCTGGCCTGGTTCATTGAGTCTACGCCTGACACAGCACATGCAATAGGAATGACTCATCACTCATACCGGAAATATGGAAAATACTACTACTACCAATCAAATCAAGCGATGGAAAAGTTAGAAAGTTGTATGAGTAGTGCCTTGATATGATTATGAGCAGTAATAAATTGTACTCGAAACGCGGTCATCATTAAATATTACTGTAAAATAAATTGTACCCATAATGAAATTATACTCTACCACCACAGTGAACAAGTTCTATCCTTATATTATACATTTCAAGTTCAGTTTCCGATACCGAATGATTACTGCCCTCATATGTGTATCATATGCAAGCAGAATTCCTTCAAAGTTATCCACAAAGACAAAAGAAGCCCCCCGAGAAAACGATATACACGGAAGGAGAACCCTGGTTCATTCGTTCACTCATCAGTCAGTGAGATCCACCATTTCTAACATTGGAGAGACGACAAATAACCTTCTGGTCATGTGATAATCACAACAACAACAAAATAAAAGCAAATTCGGAATCAGAAAACGAATGTAAAGGAGAAAATAAAACACGATCTTTTCTCTCTCTTTGCCCTTCTTCAAAATTTTTAACAACATGGTGTTGTAAAATTAATTTTACCTGAGATGAAAACATTAGGAAGAAAGAAAGTAGTGTGAGAATTGTTTCTCATTAAAAAATAAATTATTTTTTTTTAAAAATACATAACAAATAACATGAATATTTAAACAAGAAGCAACAACTGTCTACCAACTTACCGGTTTATCAAAAGACGAAGAATAAGTAGAAGTGAAAGTAATATTCCAGATGTATCCCCTTTATTTGATTGCGCCTTCTCTCAAATGTCTTGTCTTGTCTCTTCTCTATCAAACTCAAACTCCTAGGGTTATTTATTTCTCTGAGTACACGCTCAAACACACATACGCTTTAGGATATAAGGATAACAATAATAATAATATGTCAGTTGCCTCTATGTTAGTGTATCTGAGTTTGTTTGTGAGTGTGTGTGTGCGTGTGTGTGTGTGGACGTGTTTGTACATCACATTGAACATTGAATGTCGTATTATTTTTTCTTGTCTTTTGTGTGTTTATTTGAGTATCTCTCCCGTTGGGCAGGTCAATAGAATCACATTTTTTAGCCAATCAGAATAAGGCAAGACTTTAACTCAATATTATATTAACCAATCAAATGTCAGAATTTTATATTAGTACAATCTAAGGCAGAATAGGACGAGGGAGAGAGAGAGAGATAGTAGATAGATAGGGAATTAGTCGAGCATCATTTCCATCTCTCTCTCTCTGTCTCTCACGGACACTTCCTATCATTCTAATTTTTACTTTTTTTTGTTTGAAACACGTTAAATACAGGAGTAGTTAAGGATCGGTCTGAAAGGTAGGCATTGAATTTAGAAGGGTAGGCACTGATGAGAAGGAGGATTGAAGGATTACCAATGACATACGTAGTAGTAGCAGTAGAAGTACTGGATAAATTTTCACAGTCTGAATTTTGAATAATTTATCAATCTCATATATAAATATCAAAATGTTACAACAACAACAGCAAAAAAATAAAACGTAAAACAACTACGACAACAACAACCGGGATATCTTCTCTTTTTTTTCGCTTCATTCACGGTTGGCAGATTTTTCTCTCTGTACTATTATAAAAATAGTGTATTGATCGTTGAACGCTTTATCGCGGGCAATTTGAATTTGAAAATACGTGTATACATATAAGGGGTGAGGATAATCATAACAGACATTCCAGCTGCGTAAAAAATTGATAAAACACATTTAAATTAACCATACGTAACATCTTATATGAGTGTAGCATTACTCTAGGTATGCGGTACAAAAACAGCTACCTGAGGAGACTGAAGTCGCAAATGAATGTCTCTGTTATACCCTCACAAGCATACTGAGAAATAAGAGCGCCCATGTAAAAATAAACGCTTAGTATGGATGAGGTAAAACGTTATGCAAAAGGTTCGGAAGAATTTCTGGTTAGAAATGATTGAGAAGATCTGTAGCTCCGGTGGATGATTTTGATATAGTTGTGTTCTCTTAGCTGGTGTGAATGGTTTATTTGCAAAGCTTTCATTGCCCCCACCCTACTAGGCAACATCTTCAGAGCATACTTCAATTTGTTGAAGTGAGCTTTTGGATCTCTCTACGAGATTATTAGTCATGTCTCCTGTTGGGTGACCTTGAACGTTGTGATTGGTTGTTTTTGTGTGTTTTCACATCATCTAGTCTACCTGTATTGGTATTGGTGCTGATTGTTAACTTGACCTGAAGTTTAATCCTTTGTATATGAGATTTCCTTCTTATCGATTGGTAAATTTTGTCAATGTTGATGTGTTTATTGATTGACAATTCACTGGAATACCAGACAGGCTTCTAAAAATTCTCTAGAGTTCTTGGTATTTCCTCTGTGTAGTATTTGATAGTACATCTACAAAATAAGTTTCAATGGCTGCCTTCGTCTTAGTATCCATGATCATAAGCTAGCCATCAAAAGACATGCTATCCACTCCATCACTCATATCACTACATACAGAAAAATATGGACATCAATTCAACTGGGACAACGTTCAAATAACCCCGAATCAGGGTCATGAGAAAAAAAAGCAATAACAAAGCTTAACCTTGAGGAAATCACCAACCAATCACAGCGGACTTAACGTGTGCAAATACGATTCGCTGATATCCGGCTTAACTTTCTAAGAAACGATCACAAGCAGCATGGAATGACCTTCGGCAAGAAAACAACCGCTGACAATAATTTACATAAAAATCTATAAATATCTCTTGATTTTCTCAATAAACAATCTGTTGCCTAGCCTTTTACGTCTGTCGTTACAAGAACATATCGATTGGATTCGCCGCGTTCAAACCGAAGAAAAACTTAGGGTTCCTTTTTGGTTACCTGCCCTCCAATAGTGATATGAAGAAGACCATGTGAAGGGGAGGAAATAAAAGCCTGTTGACAGTTGATAGTGGAGGAAACATTCCGCAACTAAACACTCTGAGAATTTCTGTGCTATGTGTTAACAATATTGCCTGAAATCAAGTTTTTTTAGTATTATTATTACTGCATCGGAAACGGCTCTTTGTTTTACTTGCATCCTAATGGCGCTCATTCAAACTTCTGTATTTAAGTGGGCGGAGGGGTTGCATGGGTGGCTGGAAGTATGCTTCGACATCACTGTTATCACGGATTGACAGACTTGGTTGTCGGTTCGTCTAACTTGACTACAATGCGCCTCCAGAACACAACACTTGTAAGCGCAATATCCCTTGAAATTAAGTCACGCGTAGATAAAGGCTATCCCGGTCCAGAACAAACAAGAAGCCGGTCACTGTTTCTACGGTACCACTAATAAACAAACCAATAATTATATATATACAACAAACCTTAACGGTTTCAAGAGTACAAAGCACAACGCTTAACAGAAAGCAAGGTACCGCTATCACAGCGAAAAAACGTTAAAGCCAAAATTGCGAACTAGCCGGAATCAGACACGACCGTTCAGGTAAGCAGTCAGTAGAAGAATGAACCCAAGTAAGAGACAGACAGAGCATAGGCACAAAGATAGAATTTAATTGGCTACTTAACCAGGTAGGCTGATACAGATGAAGATCAATAAATAAGATAAACTCGACAGAATAGTACAAAGTAAGACATGGGTCACCAAAAATAACAGTTCACAAAATACTCTGATTGGGTCATGAGTTCAACGGTCTGACCAAACGGATCGATGTAAAAAAACACACACACAGTTCATTAAACAAGAGGGGATAGACACGTTAGGCATGGATAATTGGGTTGCAACAACGCTAGGCTGATCCGGGACAGTCTGAGTTGATTCAAGGATGGGAATTAAATTGATCTTGCAACACTAAAACCAATCATCCAGGATCTTCAAATAGAATATCACGTGACGGTAGACCAAGTGGTGAAACACTTCTGTCTGACATGAAGCTCAAACCAAGAAATTATGGTGTCTCTCCTTTGTCTTCTGTTTTGGTAAATGCATGTTGTAATTTGGTTGAATGGGAATTTGAAAAGTTTCAGGAATCCTTTCTGTCAGCCAAAGACATAACCGAAGGACAGCTGGTTATCTCTTGCATTACAACGATTATGGTTTTCCCACGATAACTCGAAATAACTTTCGAATCAGCAAGTTGTAAGCACATTAAATACTCGCCAGAGTCTAAAACGTAATTGAAGGTCATATTTTTACCAGATTTAAAAAAACTGAACGCAAGAAAATATCTGTGAAATATCGATTGGATTGTTTGGTAGCCCAAATTTAAGCAGGCCACCTGACCAACTGAAATCAGCCTCCACACTGAGACAGACACAAAGAGGAAAAGTGACAACCAACCGAATGTCAGCAGCACCAACAACAACAGCAACCTTTAATAGACAAAGTATATGGTTGCAGGGATATCGAAAATCCCTCAGAAATTTAAACCATAAATAAACCGACTACGGTGCGCCACCGACAATTATACATCTCATCCAACAGCTGTACGAAAATACTGCATACCAAGTTATCCACAACGGAATAATTACGGAATCCTTCGAAGTGAGGACAGGAGTAAGACAAGGCTGTCTACTATCGCCAATGATTTTCCTGATTGCAGTAGACTGGATAATGCGACAAACAGCGGGCAATGACGAAACAGGCATAAAATGGACCCACACAAAAAGAGACTTGGAGGATCTGGACTTCGCTGATGATATATGTCTGATTTCCCACAAACTGGAAGATATGCAAACGAAAAGCAACAAGTTGGCAGAACAAGCATCAAAGATAGGAATTTAGGTGAACATTGAGAAAACAAATGTGGTGATGAAGATTCCTGGACAAGAACAACAACAACAGAAAACGATCAGCATAAATGGGAGGAACCTGAAAGAAACAACCTCTTTTACCTACCAACCTGGAAGTATCGTTTCAACCACAGGCGGAACTGACGAGGTTATGAAAGCAAGAATCGGGAAAGCAAGACAAGCTTTCATTTCTCTCAAGTCTGTGTGGAGGTCAACAGCACTATTGAGAATGAAAAATAAGATCCGGATTTTCAAATCCATTGTGAAGTCAGTGCTACTTACTGTACGGATCAGAGACTTGGCCAGCGCGTCATAAAGAGCATCTCAAACAAACTACAGACCTTCATTAACAGCTATCTTCGCTCAATACTCCGCTCAAGATCAGATGGCCAGAAAAGATTAGCAACAGCGAGGGATCTCTGGGAGCGAACCAACCCAGCAGGAACCGATTGTGCAACAAATGTGCAGGAAGAAATGGAAGTGGATTGGATTGGCCATACTCTGAGAAAACAAACCATCGAGTGAGTGACATCACACGCCAGGCCATCGCTCGAGTGGAACCCGAAAGGGAAGTGGCGAGTCGGTCGTCAGTGCAAGGGTGACTTGGAGGAGGTCATGTGAAGAGGAGATGAAAACGTGTGGGCAGACTTACAGCCAAGTGAAGACACAACCAGAGAACCGAACGCAATGGAGACGCACGGCTGAAGTCCTATGTTCTTCTAGGAATTAAAGGAAACAATAATAATAATAATACTAATAATAAGGTTATCATGTCAGTATACGCAAAAGTCATGACTAACAAGGAATCTCGTCCGTTCTAACAAACACTCGTTTTTTTCTTTTCTTCTCTCTTCATCTAAATTCATTAGAATAAAATATCTTTTTTTAATCTTTTTCTCTATAGTTTCCTGTTTCCATCGTGTAACATAACACTGTCATATTAACAATTAAAAATCAGCATTTTTAATTTATGCGCCGTATTCATCGATCGGTCGATCGGTCGATCCTTTATTAAATTGTAAGCGTTTACGCCCACACACACACACGCACACTCACATAAAAACAAATGCACTGTTAAACCTCTTCTTTAACTTCCTCTCACCCCACCCCCCGGCCTATTTATAAAGCTTTAATTGTCATAAGCTCAAAATTCAAATTTTAAAAATTT